TCCTTTGAAAACAAAATCCGACCTCTAAAAACCATCTTTTGAAAAAAACAAACAAAAAAACTGACCGTCAACGGGTTCAAAGCTTTATTTGCTTTTTTTTTGTATGTTCTGACTTGATTGCAATAGAACGTTACGTAACTGACGAATGAAACGGAAGTTAGGAATCAAACTTGGTGCTCATATTTGATTAGAAAGGCATGGTTTTGTGCTCGTATTTGGCCTATACTTTGTTTCAGCTTCCGTCCGAGCGCAGCCAAAGGCTGAGGGACGGTTTGCAACTTCGAGAGAGCATTCCTACGCATTACAAAGTAGTCCGCAAAAGTAATTTTTTTTCAAGTAACTGTTTTGTGCGTAAACATTGCATAACATTCCAGATGTGTACTGCTGAGGATGATTTGCAACGAAAGGAATTAAATATCTGAAGTTTGTTTTTATTAATATATCTAAAGAGTAATGCTATATGCACTCCGGAGTGCAGCTCGGCCGGAAATTGCTAAATGCACTACGTTTGTCTTGTATAAAACGAATAGTCACAACGGGTTTGCTAAGCGGTGGCATAGCGTAGGGGTTAAGGTGTTCGCTCCGTACACAAGTGTACGGGGTTATAATCGTAATGGGCCTACCTTTTTTTTTTTTTTGAACATTGTTTTGTTGAGGCATTTGGCGATATTTATATTTCTTTTTTTGCGATGAACACCGAATGTTGTCGACAAAACTTTGCAGACTTCGCAGGTCGGGGACAGCGGGGCTTGGGTTGCCGGCTGGACGCCGCGAAGCGGCGTGTATTGGTTAACTTTTCTTATTAGCAGCCGCATACTGTCGCCGCGAAGCGGCGTGAACGGAGGTGGGGGGCTGTGTTAACGAGCTCCCCAGTGATACACGCGCAGTTCGAAAAAGGGTGGCCAGAGCGGCATAAGCTCTCCACGTAGTGCATATAGCAATTTCCGTCCAAAGTGCACTACGTAGTGCATATAGCATCGCTCATATGTAAATGCATGCGGTTTGGTGAAAACGCGTACATCTGCTGGCAACACGGCTGCAGCCTCGGTTCTCTGCAGCCCCCGGTTCTGTGTGATTTCGTTCCCGTAATGGCCAAATCATGTTCTTCGCTGCTTTCCTCACCGAGTCACTTCAGAACATCCTTTTGCAAAGGCACGTTCGAGCGTCAGGCGCGAGCGATCGTGATGAATGTCTACTTTCAAATTCGACAGGAGACTCCGGCCGCGTCGTACCGTGAATGCGTTGTTAACAAGAAAAGCGTCCGGGCCACTACAATTCACTGATACACAGCGAAATCGGGACACCCCTTTACTTGCCGATCACATTGAACGCCGAGAAGCTGGTGGAAAGGGTTGTGCCTCGAGCTCTGGTATATCCAGACAATACAAGGAAACATCAACGGCCGGGTCATCGGGCACCTTGCAATGTTTACTTACATCCCGAAACTATGCCATATGCCAGACGGGTGGAAAGCTTGGACACAGATGCCAGCAGCCAGCCTACGTACTGACATACCCTGTGACTAAACTTCAGATTGTGAAAGGGCACTTTTTAAACCTGTAGCAGACTATACCGTTGATACACCCGTAGCAGACGAAATACTCGGTGAGCGCGGGCGGTGCGGACGACCAGCGGCGCAGCGGAGTGATACAAAAGTGCAGGCGAGATCGCGTGACCTATTGCCGGCGTGTGATTGGCTCCGGTCACACGTAGCTTTAACTGCACTCGGACAAAAGCTGGAACGAAGTATTGTATAAATGTTTCTCGCTTGATTTTTTTAAAATTTAAGTACAAACAAATGCAATTAGAAAGTGTGAAGTATAGACAAGCAAAAATATTTCCATGGTATTTTTGTGGTAAAGGTTTGATATAAATCATCATAGTAGATCTGGTCTGATTTAAATCACGATTAAAGTCATCTTGATTTTTATTCTCCACCTTGTGTGGAGGATAGTTCGCACCGAACTGTCCTCGAGGTTGTTTCTTCGGGAACCATACCTCTTTCCAGTTTCTTTTATTGGACAAGAAGTTTTCCAAGGTACTATCGTGAGCAATATGAGAGGGAACAGCGGAGCGCGTGCCAAATAGCCTCGAACCCTACCCGTGGCGATACGCTGCGGCAGCTCTTGGAAAGAAGGTGGAGAGAGCGGTGCGCTTTCGTCTGCTAACGGCACCCCCGCCATGCTGGCTTTCCTCTCGCGCGGCACCTGATAACGATGAACATTGCTAGGTGCTTTTATACGTCGTATCATTGATAGCTTTGCGAACTTGAAAAAGGAAGCTCGCGGCAGCGAGATGAAAACAGTTTTATTGACGCCTGCCAATATAAAAGAAAGACAAAAAAATTAATACACAAGCAATGTGGAAGGAAAAGAAAAACACTGTCTGGAGTGTGAATACTTTTTTCTGTTCAGTGTGGCTTAAAGCGCGTCCTAAGCGCCGCCGGCCTGGATGACACATTCCATCCTGGAAGGCAGCGAAGCATAAAGGGCATCCACGAAGGTGCTGTCACTTTGAAGTCGCTCCCACTGTTCTTGAATTGCTCTCCAAAGTTCGTCGGCGTTTACGGTGTCCAGCGAGAGCTTCGAAAGATTTACTTTCATGCGACCCCAGACTGGCTCGATAATATTTAGATCTATGCCCTTTGGGCACCATGGAAGGCGCATTACCCCTCGCTGATCCAGGAGGTCCGTCACGACTTTGGCTATATGAGCCGGTGACAGATCATGCTGGAGAATATAGCAGCCATCTGGCCATGGCCCGTTTAAGACATACGGAATCATATCGTGGTCCAGTATGTTGCAGTAGGCGACACTGTTGAATTTTTCATTGATCCTCACCAAAGGACCAAGGCCTTGCAAGAAAGAGCTGCTCACACGTTCACTGACGTCCAACCGCTTGTAGCCACCTCCTTCACGTTTTCTGGGCGATAACGTGTGCATTCAGTGCGCCAAACTCTTTGCTGCTGATCCCAACGGGTTGAAAACGTTGACTTGTCGGGAAAAACTATGCACTTCCACTCGTTAACAGTCCAGCTGCGGTGGTCAGTTGCAAACTTCAAGCGGACTGCCTTGTTGGATGGTGTGAGAAAGCGGCTTCTGAGCGGTGCACCGTGGTATCGCTGACATCCAGTTCAAGAGTGGTGCGGACAGACTTTGCATTCTGGAATGGGTCGTCATTAACGGCAGCCACAATCATCAGGTCCTGGTCGATGTTATCGTGGGGCGCATCTTTTATCTGGCCTTCATCCCGGTACGCCCGGACTATCCTGTTCACTGTCTTCATAGGGCGTCCCGATAGAGATGCAATATTCCGCTGACTATAACCTTCCAAAGACAGCTTTACTATTGCCTCTCGTTCAATATGAGGCACTCTAGCCATCGTTAGAGACTGGTCAAAGAATCACGGACTTGCTGCCCGTATTGGAAGTGTCGCTGGGGCGTATGGGCTGGCAGAGTTCGAAATAAAACACAAAAAGCAACCGTATGTGGGAATGATTACAACGCTTCCCAATCACTCTCTTTTTTACTGGTTGTGCGTGAAAAATAGAACAAATAGATGATCCAAACGTCAATAGTTATCATTGTCGCCAACCGCATTTTTGATCACGGTGGTATCAAGTTGTATCAAGACGTTAACGCCGTTAGTTGTTGGCGATGAACTATACTGCGTGAAAGGTAAGCTGCCAGTGGCAGGGGTGCCGGCAGCAGACGAAAGCGCACCGCTCTCTCCACCTTCTTTCCAAGAGCTGCCACAGCGTATCGCTACGGTAGGGTTCGAGGCTATTTGGCACGCGCTCCGCTGTTCCCTCTCATACTGCTCTCGATAGTACAGTAAACAACTTAATTTTTGCTCAATCAAATTTTTGCACATCGGTTCAAATTTGAAGATTTTTTAATTATTAGTGGGTTCCAATCTTAGCAAAACGAAAATTAGAACCTGACATGACCATGAATTGGGGTGATCATGCATTCCGGCTTTTAAATATTTCTTTCCAATATTTAAATACTTATGTTATTAATAGAACATATGTAACAATCACATGAGAACCTTTGCATGTGTGTATTCTCGTTGTTAGATGGCTGCTCACAAATCACCGTCTTTCAATGTAGCTTCCGAAGTGTCAGCATTTGGCTCCCAAGATTTTGCGGGACCTATTGTTTTGCGGATCGTAGGCGATTTTTGAAATTCGCAAACATTAGGTTCTTGCAAAAATTGAGTCATTTATAGTATATGGGTCTCTAGAGGGTTGGGTTCCAACCTCTAGAGATCTATGTCCTGTTTTGTTCAACATAATTCCCAAAAAATGTATAGGCATTTTTGTCCGACAAAATAAAATAGAAAAAAAAAAAAAAACAGAATCTTGGGGCGGGGGGAAATAAACCCTGGAAAAACACCCCCAAATTTGAAGAAAAGTAAACCCCCAAGACACACAACTCCACTCATTAGGTTCCATACTTTGAAACATAAGCTTGTGCATTTTGTTTATTTTCATGGCAACTGCACGATTTATTTTTAATACATTTTCAAATAGCCGGTTTTCAAAACAAAAGCATGCTCAGAATTTGATACTTTCTTGGTCTAACTTTTTTTTTCTTTTTTTTTTGATATGACAAGACAAGAGGCACAGTGTATATCTTTCGCCTGGTCTGTTCCCATATTGCGCACTGGACTTGATGATGCAACAGCATGTGAAAATCGAGGCGAACATGCAGCTGATTCACTATAAAGAGCGTGCACTTGTGCCTAGGTCAGGACAAAGGGAATGTAAATGTCTTATTCTTCATAAAATGTAGTTGCCTATAGTAAGGTTCAGGAGTATTTAGCTTGTCCAGTTCGTTTTTGTTTGCCTTTCTATCCACACAGTTGTATGCAGTTTTTGCACCCTGAATTGTGTGCAATCTAACTTCTGAGTCTGTTTCCTTTTTGTGTTTCATCATTAGAATCTTGAACTCTTGCACGGTTATAAAAACTAATTGATATTTTTTTTTTTGTGAAAGATGTGAAGGACGGCTTTTTTGATATGGAGAACCTCAAGCTAGGAAAGCTTCCGTTCGGTGCCTTAGAAGATCCCATTGGGTAAGCACCCTCTTAGCACCGTCCTTCGAAAGGACAATTTGCAAGGACTGAAAGTGGTTTATCCCCTGCTTTTATGTTTCTATTTTGTTTCTATAGGGAAATGCAGCTCTCTGTTACATGGCCATCCATTCCAGAAGACATTATTGTTGATAATGATGTCTACAGGTGGGAAACCATTACTATGCTTTTTTTTTCTCTCTTACTCGCATTCTTTTCTCATTCTAAATTCACTACTTTTTATATAGTGCAGTCTTAAGTAATATGTAATATGAGGATGAACATTTAATTTGATTTTGTGTCAATCCGAACCAGGATGGCGCAAATTGTATGTCTCGGTCTGTCCGTGGTCTACTTGAGTGTTGTTCCGAGCTGCTACCATTAGTTTAGAGGTCCGGTGGCACAGGCAGCTTGATGTGCTTTGTCTGTACTTCGACTCGACCGACTACTCTCACATGATAACACCAGAGACCAGTAGCAATGCCCGATTTGTGCCCTGCCAGACGCATTTTCAAATATCTGAGCAGTTGTAATTTGGTAATGAAAACTGACAAGCCAGGAAACATGTTGAGGCTGCAATACATAGTATGTTAATGTGTGCACCATGACCTTTTTGGTGTTGAATTAAATTAATAGAAAATATATTGTCTATCTAAAATTTGTATGCAGTCTCGTTGCTCAAGGAAGATAAATTCAGTGGCTCACTTTGGCTCATATGTGCCAATCATAAGTGTGTATTTTTGAGTGTGTATTTTTCAGGGAAGCACATAGTAATAGTGTGTTTGTCATCCTTGTTTCCTTATCCTCGGTGTTTTAATTCGAAAGAATTAACTGTCCCATGGAGCGAGCCAAAGTCATCAGCTTCAAACGGCCCCTTAAATCCTTTCTCCAAGTGCAGCCAGCTCCCAGCTATGAAACCACACAAAAAGCCTGACAACGGCACCTAGTTTCCTCGATCCCAAAGGAGCGGAGTAAAGCTGATGGATTTCGGCTTCAGTCCCATTGGCTAGCGCACGTCGACGAGGCTCTCATTGGCCGCTGCACGTCAGTTTCAATAACCGCTCACCCCATGGCGCTGCATGTTCGTCAGCGTGCCATTAACACGGTGCGTCCCAGATCAGCGAACCGAGGAGAGGGCGCGCGCGCCGACCAGTGACGAAAAGTACACAGCAGACGAACTAAGGGAGCGGACGAGCGGCTTGCATGCTTTCGCATTCACAACTCGTAAGAAAAGTGCTTAGGTGTACCTCGAGCCTTTTTTGTTTTCAAGGTTAAGAACCGCCAGTTTCGGTTTTTGATATACATTTCTTATAATTGTTTTCATAAAATGGGTATAGAATAAAGTTTTTGGTTAATGGATATCTGTTTTTTTTTATTCTGGTAGATTAATAATTTGTATTTTCAAGCTTCATAAAAATATTTTCATAATATCCTCTGAGATTTCCCAGCCCAAAAGATAACCCACCCCTCTTTTTTGTCCACTTTTTTCTTTAAAAAAAATTGCCATTAGAAGTTCTGTTATCCGGGTACTGTTCATTTGTGAAATGAGGTCGACAATGTGAGTTTTAACAAACAATAGCTTTTGTTCTTTTGACAACTTCGAAGGCAATTGAATAAGCAGTTTTTGGTCTTTCAAATCGAGAATTTTTTCTCAACTTTTGACCACACACTTAATTTTAGGTCAGCCCCTTTTCTACCCCACTTTGTCTTTGTAGGGGATTGCCTATCTTCTGGAACATTACTGTAAAAACCCTTTCGGTATATTTAGAGTTGCTTAGAAATATCTCAGTTGTTGCATCCTTATTACAGCGATCTTTGTCCTGCAAATGCTCCCAAGTGGTCAGTCCGAATGCGCTGGAATGAAAACCCACATTGCCTTATGGGTGAGTGAGCCTTTGCTTACTGCATTTCTATGTTACCCATGCACCACTGCGGACTTGCATTAGTTCTTTAGGACACTTGCTGTTGTTCTATCTAACGCCCGGGTTGATGCACCATCACTCTTCAGTGTAATTTTATCTTGTTTTCCTTAGAAACATGTAGAATCTTTTTCTCTTTTTACCTGCAGAATTTTGACTTCATTGTTTCCATTACCATGTTTGCAGCTTGTTTAAAACTCGTGTTATAGGCAAGATTTAGACTTGTGTATTGACATTGTGGCATTTAAACAAGGCCTGCTAGCATCTTGATGACATGTCTTTGATTTGTTGTTTTCGACTTAAGTTTTAATCCTTTTACGTTGTATTAGTACTGGTGTTTTAGCTTTTTAGCTCTACATTTTTTCAAGGTCTTGAGCTGTTTGTAAACAGACCGAACAATTAATAAATAAATAGAAATAAATAGTCATCTGTGACTACTAGATGGCTATCTAGTACTTACTGTTGGCATATTATTTGTATGGTCTCTAATTAATTATGGTGTAGATGCCTCCTTTTGCAGTGTTTGTACACTGCAGAAAGAGTAAGCGACGTTAAGGGACATGTGCATAAGATGAGGTGGACAAGACTAACTTTTAATTTCATACACTTTACTATTGTGCCGTCTTAATTGATATTATTGAGCCGTTGATTCAGTTAACTGCACAGGTGGGTACTTGAGCCTGAGAGTTTAGATTTTTTTTTAAGATCCGATGACAAGGTGAATCTATATTTTCAAAGTTAATAGTGAGTACATGCACAAATCAAGGATTAAAACCATTTTTTTTTAATGACCTCGCTAGGTCTATTTCGCAAAACTGAAACTGCATTTGGTGCAGTCGAGGCATATATTTTGACAAAACTACGATGTGTGAAAAATTTATCATCTTAGTTTTCATCTGCTAAATTATTTTACTAAATGAGTGCATGCTGCAGCAACTATGAACACCATTTCTTATTTCTACAGAACTGCCTGCCTATTGTTTGGAAAATATATACATTTTTTATATTTAATTGCCCACCTGGACAATAATGCATGCTGAAAACTTTGAAGTACTTGTCCACCACATGCCTGCATCTTTGTGACAAGTTAAAACACGGTCAGTGAAGAAACTCCATGGTGGCGTTAATGGCTGACCAACTACACGCTGTATAAATATCCCCACAACCCAATTATTATTCCATGGTGGCGCAAAAGTCTGTATACATACAATGACGTCATGAGTTGACACCAGAAATTACAGATGTTTGATGTGCACACCCCTACCCACCATACATTTGACTGCACATGCTTGCCAGTCATGATGTACATTCATGAACATGGTAGACATTTTTTACTTAAAGGCGTGTGCTCCACTTACATGCCACAGAAAAGAAAAATCAATATTGCTCTGTGCATGGAGACTATTTTACAATCCTGCATTCATTAAACCATTAAAAAAAAATTTTTAAAAATCTTTGTGCATATATTCACATGCACAAAGTTATTGTTTTTATATGGCCACATGAATGCAGGATGGTAAAATAGTCTCCATACATAGAGCGAAGTGTTTTTTCTTTGTAAATGGAGAATTTCCTAAACATATTTTAGTAATTTGAAGCAAAAGAACATGCATGTTCACAATACTGCTGTTTGTAGTTAAGGGGTGTATGTTTATTTTGTTTTTTCTTCAGAGGAGTACCTTGGAAACTTTGCTGTTGTTTGTAACATGAGAGAATCCTTGGATGATGTACTCAAGAACATGGTGTTAGAAGATGACCTTCCTGGTAAGTATGGCTACATTTTCCCCCGCATTATACCATGAGCCAAATGAATGTAACCTACTTTAAACAAACCGCGAAAATCAGTTCCTTGACATATCGTGCTGCATTTAGTGCAGAAGAGTGCCTAGGTAGTGACTTTTGTAGGTGAAGATATTCTTGGGTGAACTTCCCTCAATCAAATAAGGAACACTTGTTTTGGACACACATGCATGCCCAACAAAGTGTCGTGGACCACACAAGTGCTTTGCAAAAAAGTAAAAAGCCCTTCTTGCTATGTTGCGTTACCTAACACCTTGTTGGGCTCGGTGGTGGGCATTGCACCGCTGATTCTGAACAATCTTTGCCCTCTTATGGCACCTCACTTCTCCAAACCCCGTTGAGGGCACGCCCTTAAAAGGTCCTGCTTTAAACAAAAACCCATTGATAAAGATCCTGAGGTAGAATCCTTTACAAAGTTTTTTGTTCTTCATTCTCTTGATGAACAGAAATCAGTTGCTAAGATGTCACCTTTTTTTGTAACCAAAGTTCTAGAGCACCTTGTAGGGTTCTCCTACACGGCAAAAAAACTGCACTCTGGAGACCTCCTTGTGGAGGTGACCACCAAAAAACAAAGTCAAGTGCTCCTGAAGCTGACCAGTATTCTTGACGTAAAGGTGTCTTTAAGTCCTTACCGCACGCTCAATACCATCCGTGGAGTCCTCTCCGAGGACGACTTCTTTCACACTGGTGAGGAAGAACTCCTTGAGAGACTCCAAGGTGTCGGCATTGTTGCTGTCAGGTGCATCATATTTCGTAAAAATGGTGAGGAAATTCCTTGCAAACACGTGATCCTTACTTTTGAAAGACACACACTTCCACAAGCCATCAAGGCAAGATATCTTAACTGCCCCATCTGCCCTTATGTCCCCAACCCCCAGCAGTGCTTCAGTTGCCAGCATTTTGGCCATGGATCATGCAGCTGTCAAGGGAAGGAGACATGTGCAAAATGCAGCAGCCCCGACCATCTAGCTGACATCTGTGAAAGTGCGGTTTCCTGCTTCAACTGCAAGGGTCCTCACCCTGCATACTCTCGCTTTTGCCCCTTATGGCGACAAGAAAAAGAAATCCTCACCCTCAGAGCCAAAGAGGACATCACATATTCAGAGGAGGCAAAGCAAAAATTCTCTTTCCTTTCAAAAGGTATGTAATCTGACACGGTGTGCAGCGGCCCTCCACCACAAACAAAATCGAAGGCTACCCAGGTCTCACCTAAAGACCTGGCAGTGGCTCTTTGGGCCCCAATCACCTCGCAGGGGTAGCAGCTCCCCCCACCTTTTGGAGAGAGCACACCAGCTGCCCCCTAGTCTCAGGACAGGCAGGTAACGCCAGTGCCTGTCCTTACTCCAAGGCTTTCCCCCGGAGAGAAGGAGTGACACTCCCGCCCCAGCTCACTGGAGAGGGCCTCCTCCTCCAAAAAGCGGCACAACTCTCGTGCATTTCCCTTGGTACCCAAGGGGCTGGAGTGGGCAGAGTTAAAAGACGGTCTGCCCAGCACCTCCGCTACCTCTTCGGCTGGTCGTGACTGGAGCCTGGCTCCCCGCAATCCAAGCCGGAAGAAAACGCTGGCTAATACCAGCGGCACGCTTCAAGAGGCAGACTTGTCCATGGAGTTTGACGATTCGGCTGCTTCTGCGTTTGACTCGGACACCATGGAGTGGCAGACGCAGACCCGTGCAACGTAGAACAAAAAACTGGTTACTGCACCGAAGTAGTCCATGTCTTTCTCCCTATTCAAGAGCGCAGCTCTTGGGCACCCGTTTCCGGGTTGAGTGGCTTCGGTGTAACTGCACGTTGCAGTATGGGATGTTTCCTCGCTAAATTAATTTCCCCGCTATGTTTAGTGGGAAAACTGGCCCGCTAAATTTAGGGGGGAAATTAACCTTACATGATCTCAACACCAATTCAGTTTCCCCACTAAATTTAGGAAAATGATGTCATGACTTCGTGACGAAAGGAGGAGGGGATGGGGGAGGGGCATACCTTCCTTTCTTCAAAAGGAGGACGCGGCGGATCGGAAATGCCTCTTGCATTTGTACGACACCCTTGTGCGATCTTGTCTTGATTATGGCACCATGCTGTACGGATCAGCTTGCCCGTCTGCTCTCAAGATGTTGGATCCTGTATACCATCTTGGCTTGCGTTTGGCAACAGTTGCTTTTTGGACATCACCTGTACTTAGTCTGTATGTGGAATCAGATGAGATTTCACTGTGTATAAGACGCCAGTACTTCAATCTAACATACACGTGTAGGATCCTAACGAACCCTGATCACCCAACATATAATTCAGTACAAAGGTCCCAATTCAATCGTCTCTTTGACAAGCATTGTCAGACCCTTAAGTTTTCGTATAGAGCTATTTCGTTCCTCACTTCAACTTCATCTGGACAGAACCTAATTCAGAATGCAGTCTGCGTTGCCCCCTGGAATGTGGTGAGTGTTTTTTATGATTGGACTTTCATTAAGTTTAAAAAGAATTGCACATCAGCTCTTCGATTCAACAGAAATTCCTTGACCTGGAAGAGAAATATAAAGATTATGTTCACTATTACACTGGCTGTGTCAAGACTTCATCTTTTGTTGGTTGTGCTGTGCACTCTGGTCATTTTGTAAGAGTAAAATGTCTTGACGAATTTGCGACTCCATTTACTGCTGAAATCTATGCTGTGTCGTTTTTGCTGGATTATATTCTGAAAACTAAAACTAGACGGGTAGTATTATTTGTGAACTCTCAGAGTTCCATTACTGCAATATGCTCTCTCAAAGCCACTAAGAATATGCTTGTGGAACAAGTGCGAGGTAGACTTAACGGAGCTTTACATAAAGGTCACAATATAAAATTCTGCTGGGTTCCAAGTCGTGGGAATAAGGGTTGATGAGGAGGCAGACAGGCTCGCTGCATCCTCATGTAACTGCTCTCAATATCAAGCTAGCTTACCCTATCGGGATATCAAACCATTAATTAGGTTGTCACTCTTTCATTTATGGCAGTCAGAGTGGGCTATGGAGTGTGATAACAAGTTCCATGTAACCAAGCCAGTCCTTGAGTCCTGTGAGAGATCTTCACTTCAAGGGACACTGGCATAATATTTATGCTCGCCAAGGTTTTTATTTGTACATGACATGAGAGCCCAACTACCTAGAACAGAATTTGCGACTTGAAATTTGTTTTCTTTCCGCCCAAAAACCACTGATCGAGAACTGACCAGTTGGAGTCGTGCTCACTTTCTTCTCCATGGTCATGTGCCGTTTTCTATGGTTTAGACACAACCCCCAAAGATAATCAAAGTCATGGGTCATCAAAGTCATACACTCAACATTAAAAATAAAAAAAAAAAATATTATACCCATTTTTTGTTGCTTTTAAAAAACTGTAAATATGTTGATTGAAAAAAAAAAAAAAAAAAAAAAAGTTACTCAGACAATTGGAAGCATACTGTGCGTTCACTGCATAATTCTCAACATGGCGTCGTATCGCGTATCGTGGGTCTTGTGAGCTGGACGGCGATGGCGGCGCACGACAGGCGTGGGACCTCTACTTCAGAACCACCTCCGTCGCTGTTGCACCATAAAACCCGCAAACACACATGCCATGTTCTTGGGGGAGGCCACCCAGTGCTATCTTCTAGTGCTATCTCCTTGGCTGCATCGTTGTTCATGATAAATTACCATCTCCTGGGGAAAAAGAACAACTATATACAGAACCTCAAATAAGAATGTCTAATCTTACCATCAGATGCATCAACAACAAGCACAAATCACCTTTGAACTAAAATATGATCGTCCACATCATCTTCCAACTCTCTTGCTAGTGTTATCAACAAAATAGACTGCACGAATCTCGAGACTTCATATGTTTCCGAGGAGGAGCATCATGCAAAGAGCACTCTTCCTTGGCTGTGCATTTGATAAATCGCCATCTTGTGAGAAAAATAAAAACTATACAAAAACTGATTTTAGAGCAAATACCGCCCATACTTTCACGCGGGACCAGCAAAGAACATGAAAACCAAAACTGAAACCAGAACAAGCCTTCCGACGTGCAGTTATCGATGTTCCAGGTTTATTTGAGAAATCATCGCTGTTGGAACTATAATCTGATGATCCGACATCATCTTCCGACTCAACTGGGCTAGTATCGGCAACAAAATCGACTGCAGATGCCCTCGAATTGTAAGGCTTCAAATGCTTCCGAGTAGGTGCACTGAATGATGAAGACGCCATGTTCGCAGCGTGGAGCGCTCTTTCTCGGTTATGTGTTTGGTTGTAATAAATCGCCATCTCGTGGGGGGAAAAAAAAAAAGTGTTTGTTCCACCCACCAAATGCCATAACTTGTTCAGAAACGCATTGGATGCTTTGCAACGGGGCTCGCAGATCGTCAATCACGGTTGATTGATTTTGACGGGTGCGGTACGGGGTAAGTTAATGATGACTTACATATGCTAATAGTTTCTTTGTGAGCTAATAAAGCAAGCATTTGCCCACGTTTGCTGTGTATGAAAATTTTTACTTGCAGAGTAGGTGCCATGTGCAGACTATGCACCAGGTGTGGACTGCCTATAGAATTTTTTTTCCCACCAGATGTGGCCCCTACGGACTCTACATTGGGTGCAGACTATACGCTCTGTGCAGGAACTGTAGGGGGAACTTTGAAAAAGGCGCATAGCGCCACTGGTGGAGGAGCAGGCGTTCGACCGTGGGACACGTTCAGCAGCCTACCGCACCTTTCTGAGTGCGGAGCTGTGGCTGCAGAAGCACGCACGGACGGAACTTTGGTGCTTTCAGCAGACACTTCGAGGGTTACGTTGCATAAGGGCTGGGGCATACCTGCGAAAGCTGATCTAGCTAATTTAATGCCCTCAATAAATCGTACTGCAGGCTGGCTTCCAACGGGAACCCTTCCGGGCTCTAGAAGGTGCAGCCACTACTTTTTTAGACAAAATTGCAGGAGGCAATGATATCCTAAAATTAATCTGCTACAAATTCAATGGGTTTAGCGTGGAGAATAAAAGTCGAAGTCAATTTAAGTTGGAATTCAATCCATTCGCTACCGCACGCGTCGTACGCTGCTGGGCCATCTGTAGCGCACGTTTTTCCCTCTAAAACAAGGCCACACTAGGCGTGACTGTTTTGCTTGTATAATAAGCTTTTACAGTAAAATATAATATGCTTTTACAGTAAAACTCAGTGCAGAGAACGAAAAAAATTTTTATTTACATGTTTAAGTGGTTCGTTGAAGTCTTTAAATCAATAAGCCGTCGCAGATTCTTCCTCGTATGAAGGATCTCGAAGCACTCTATCCTCAGTCGCTTAGGCGTTGCACAACCAATGCGCTCTTGTCGTGATTCAGACTCTGTATTGCTGTCGGATTCGCTCCCGTTCTTGACAGAAGGCTGAAAACTCGCTATCCTCACCAGACGTCCCGTCATCATCGCTGTTGAAGAGCATATCTATGATTTCGTCATTAAAAAGGCCACACCGTACACTGGACTCTGCCATCTTCTCCAAGCAGGCAGCGATCGAGCTGGAAAGACGACACAAAAGAACAAGCTCAAATAAACACAGCGAATGGAACGACCCTCGCCATCTGTTGGCAATATATCTAACTACGCTACCCCAAGTCTGCACAGCTCGTTATCTATGAATGGCTCTTTAAAACAAAAATTCATGCAGACCGGCGAAACACTGGCTTTGGCAACATGGCCCCTGACGGCACGCTTGGCGATTCGCCGGCTTTGGTAGTGAATGGGTTAAGTCAAACCAATTTGACTATGATGACTTTCCCACATCAACGCCTTTCTCACAAAACTAATTTTAGAAATATATTTTTATTGTGTGTCTGTAATTTGATTCTGTTCATGTGCATATATTTTGTTTAATAAAAAAAAGTAATCAAACAAAAGTGTATAGAAGCTGAACATGAGCGAAATGTGGGCTCTTTGCTGATCGGAGAGGTGAGCTTTGTTTCTATCTTTCACATCTTTTGTCAATTACATGGTATCTTATGCAAGCAAATCAGAAAGCGAAATACAAAAAAGGAAAAGTATGCATGCGGGCACATGCACCCAGACCGACAGAGTGTGTGACTGAGAGAGACAGGCACACAGACAGAGTTGTGCATGTAAGGTTGATCTTGCCTTGGACACTTATATGTTTTGTCTTACTCAAGCTTTCTCTTTCTTTTATGATATACCACCACCTTGCCCACTTAAAGAGTAGAATAAAAGTCACTTGTTGACTCGCAAACTGTGCTCGAGTTCAAAAGCCATAATTCTATGTTGTTTATTTTTATTTATTTTTTTTGCTTTTCACTTTTTGTGTTGGACTTAATATTTTGTCTGGAACCATACTCGGAAACAATAGCAACGGTGGCACCGTGTGCATGAAATTAATCGAAAACAATTTAGGGCGGGAAGAAGCTGTTTTCCTGGGGATTATGTATAAACTTCAAAGTGATACCTATTTTGCTTTGCTAAGTATTACAGCAAATAAAGCTTTCTGAATAACCAAAATAATCAAGCTCCTTTTGTTATAGTATGATGTGGTTAAACGAAGAAAAAAAAAAGTTCTGATTGAAACTACACTTTACAATATAACTAAATTTACAGTGAATTTCTTTTTACACTGTTGTCGTTGGTTGGGCAGATTGAAGAATCAATTTGCCAAGTTTATCAAGGCATCTAGCAAAAAATAAAGTACTCATTTTGAGATAAAAAATATTTTTGATTTTTTATTTACGATTTCTTTCCTCTTAGACTGAGCTGTCTCAGTTCTCTTGCATTGATTTGATCAAAAACGGTTCTGACATAGTTTTTTTTTTTTTTTTTTTTTTTTATTGGCAATCCTAAATGTTAGAAAAGGCAACTTCCACGCCTGAAAGGAGGCTAACTAGAAAAAGAAAGCACACCTAAACTGCCAGATTCAAACGTTGCTTGACCCGTGACTTGCAAGTTTTATCGCAATTTTTCTTATACTCGCATTTCTCAATGTTTGAACCGTAAAAATTTTTCTTCAGAAAGTCAAAATCGCATGCTACGCTGCTCCGGAAAAATAGACACATACGATGGTAGTCAAAATATGCAGGCGAGCTGGTGAATTAAGTTTATAATCAAAAACCTGAGACTGGGAATCAAGAACATAATGGAATGGAGACGTGTGTGTGTGCTTGTCCATTATTTTAGTTATTCCAAGTCTCGTTGTTTTTTTTTTATTATGTATGATGGGGACGAAATGTCTTTGGAGGGCATTGCTCCAACGAAATTGGCACTGCATATCCGCTGGTGTGGGACGGGATTCCAGTTTGTCCCACCGGCCCTGAAATGTGTAGGCGTTCCTGTCAACAAAAACAAATGCAGCGCACAAAGCGGCAGAATCGATTATGTCCATTGTGCCGATACAGTGGCAGACATGATTGGGAAACCAAACTTCTTGCATCGTACGGCGTGGTCCATTTGTTGCTTCGTTAGAAAACAACGGCGAGTTGAAAGATAATGAAACGTCATCCCCACGAGAGACGACACATAACTATTGGAGCACATAACGACGCAGCAGTTCATACTGTCAACCCGACACAACTGCACCGCTCCGACCTCAATGTATACCAATGTACGCGGCGTGGTTTCGTTTCGCTGGGGTACTCGCAACCTGCCTTCAATAATGGCCACGCGGCGGCGCGCCGGTCAAGTCGCACAGTGTTTAGTGTGGAGAATATGGTACTAAAGGGAATTGCATGGTTCTTTTTTTAACAAAAGTCTAGCGAAGTCGCCTTTACCGAAGTTTTAAGGGCAGCAACTGTGCATCCATTGGAAGTGAGTGTGCAGCATTTGAATGTTGCCTTGTGCAGCCAAGACTGAGATCCTGGATGCCCTGGACCGACTGGCCCAGCCCAACCCTCTGTCGTTCCGGCTGCCCCAGATGCCTCGTTCAGAGGGGGCTCTCGGAGACCACGCTAATACACTCCTTGGAAATCAAGATCTGCTTGTCGAGGTTCTGGGCTACGTCTTCCTGACTGCTGATGCTGAACCTGAAGCAAAGGTGAACCAAAATTTGTTCAGTGTGACCTGTAAACGGGCACTGATTTATTTATTTTGTTCCGTCAAATGCCGAGCATGCGCTCAAGTTACAATAAGCACCCGCCCGCTACTTCAGGAAACATTTAGAAAATATGCGGAGGACATACCGAGCGCCCACTCCAGGCATGTGAGCCCACGTAACTTACCGAGATGCTCACCTGCGTCAGCAAGTTCTCTGAGCAGCGCCGATGCAGAGTGGAAAAGCTCGATGCATGTGCACCGGTGCAATGCAGTGAAGCTTGACACGCGCACTCCGGTGTGCCCCTCCTGTATTTTTTTATCTATTTTCTAATTTTGGGTGGACACTTACTTGGTATGTTAAAATATTTGTGAAGAAGAGATGGCTAGTTTTTTTTATTGTATTTTAAGTCCAGGTGAAATATATATTTAAAGAAAAGTGATTTGTGAATGGCTTTTGTTTCTGTCCTCTGAATTTGAATATTGTGCTGAAATTGGCATGAGTAAACTAGACCACTTTTATTTTTGAGAAAACATGCAGCGATTGCTACAGGGCATCCGGTGAACCTCACTGCCACCTGTGATTGGTCAAAGGCATTGTGGCATTATTGTTGGCATCTCCAAGCCAGGTTCAAAGCGTTAGAGGTCACAAAGTGGAGACTGGAGGTGACAGGGTGTTCATATGTAGGACTCTTCTCAGCATTTTTCATGTTATCTTGTTATATCTCATTTTCAATATTGCGATTTCCCAATGATAATGTGATCACAACCACAACACGATACTACACTGCACTGAAAACAGAAGTGCACATTCAAGCTCCTATGGCACGCTTTCTTTTAAAAAAAGCTACTCCTGCTGGTAGTGACCTACTCTTTTGTATGAGCCATGACCGAAGGAATCATGCGGGGTTTCACTCTTTCTACTTCTATAGGAATCTCCGGTCCATGCATGAGCGACAAATTTTGGGGATAGCTTCTGTCACAGAAATGATCCGAACAAGACACACTTGTTTTAGTTGGTGCGCAATTGTCATTCTTCACTGCAGCAAGCCACTGAAAATCTAGCTTCTTCTGCTGCAGGAGGTGGTGTAAAATCATGTTGTCGCAGCCACTGGTGTGGATACTAGAGCTATGCATGGGCCAAAAGTTTCAGCCCTGTCCTGACACAGCCCAAGCCTGGCCCAAACCCGGCAGGTTTTCTTAAATAAACCCGAGTCCAATAGATTTTTAAACAGGGGCCTGGCCTTACCTGACTATTTTTATTTGCATATACATATACCCGAGTCCAACAGATTTTTAAACAGGGACCTGGCCTCACCTGATTATTTTTATTTGCAACTCCAAGTTTCTTTTGCCATCACACAATCCACACCAAAAAATCTGAAAGGGGCAGTGCCTGTTTGTCAAATGTCCTTTCTTCATAAGACTATTGCTAATAGGGCAATTTGTCTCATCAGGGCATCATAGACTGCTTCAGACTAGTCATTTCAAAGTTTATACCTGGCCAAACAAACAAACACAGAAAATATTCGCTGAACAATTCAGCGAAGCAATGTCGAAAAAGAGAAAATATTAACTGGACAATTCAGAGTGCTTATCTAATATCTATAAAAAAAACGAGAAAGTTCAAATGGCTAGAAAGCTATGTGGTCTGCTGCCCCACATTCTTTTTATTCTTCATGTGGGTTCATGCAACACATCCTTGTCCAAGCCCGGCCCAAGCTGGGCTTGAACAAGGGTGTGTTGTCATATGGTCATATAGAGAAGAGTATGTTTTATGTTGAAGGTTTCTGAATTCGTTTCTATTTTGGTATCGAGCTTGTGCCCGCTGGCAGAGCAAAGGATTGAACTGGTTCTTTTTTCTTTTTTTGCGTTTTAGGGTTCAACTGTTGGAAGTGCAGAACTTGATTCTCCCTCTGAAAATGTTGGCCCCACTTCCAAGCTTCTGGAGCTGAAGGTACAGTCTATTTTTTTTCGCAAGCGGTGATATACTTTTGGTTCTCATCTTGCTGTGGCAAAACAAAACAAAAAAACCAAAAAACTTGCAGACTTTTTTTTTTTTTTTTTTCAAAGGCCAGAGCTATGGAAACTTGTTTTAAATGCTTTGTTTTTTTCTTACCATAGGAGAGTTTCCATTCACTCAAGACAACACATACCAACAGTCTCCTGTGGCGTTTGGCCCTTGCTGCCGTTCACGTGTACCATACCTGCGGGGGCATCGAGGCACTGGCTCAGCTCTGGGTCAAAGTGGTAGCCGAGATACGCTACTACTGGGAAAACAACCTCACTCTACCCAGGTAAGCTAAATAGACAGCAAGAAATTGCTCTACGCTTTAAATATGGCAACATTGGTTGAATGTTTTAGAGGAGAGTTTTAGCCAGTAAAGTAAGACTGCTGACCTGGAGTCTTTCACGTGCATTATGCACAGTAATTACACGACCACACTCTGGTATGATGCTCATCCAGATGGAAACAGGCAGAGGTGGGGATCAAAGTTGGAAATAATCCCTGGTTCTCGGTGGTGCAAGCTTTCGCTTTGAGCTGTGATGCGCTAGCGCGCTTGGCTACCGATCCCCCACTAAGGTTACCATCTACCGTAGGCAGTTTTTGGCTGCCATGGCATTTTCCAGGAAATAAGCTGTTTCCTGGTTCATACTTCAGGGTGGCATGTTTTTGCTGGTTTTCTTAACTACTGTAGCAAAACCCCCTTTAGGAATAAATATCATAAGCATACGTTAATGCGAAAGCATTAACTGTCCAATTGAGCGAAGTCGGCGTTGTCTATAACCGCCTGTATCAATGATATGGCAGTTTTAATTTCCATTGGCCAAAAGCACAGCAGCACAGATACTTTGTCATGGAAGCCGGCGAGTCCGTTCAAGGCCAAAGCGGACGCGCCTCAGAAATAAAAAAAGAAAAGCGCAGCAACACAAATGCATCGTCACGGAAGATGATGGGGCCGCTCAAAGTCAAAGTGGACGTGCCTCAGAAATAAAAAAAGCACAAAGAAAAGCACAGCAATGCAGGTGCATCGTCATGGAGCCGTGGAGCCCACGGGGTTCGCTGCGCTTGCGCAGTGGGGGAGTGTGATGTCACTGCCAGAGCGCCATGTGAAAAAGGAAGATGTGGTGCGCTGCCTGTAGGAATGCACTACGTGTAGGAATGCTTTTGCATTCCTACACATAAGCAGTCTGAAGTGTCCTCTTTAGTCTTTTTAAAGGTCCTCTTTAGTATTGTCTAAAAAGACCACACCCAGAATATTTCAATCGAATTCCACCTAAAAGTGGATGAAACTGGCAAACGAAATTTGAGGTGCATGAAACTACCAAAATCTACTAATCCTAGTGGGTGAGGCACAGTGAAGGCCAACAGCGCAGTCAATACCACAGTGTCGCCGCAGCCCACTCTGTGCTACATTAGTCGTGCTCGGAGCACTTGGAGAGATTTGTTTGCTTGTTTTGTACTTTTTCAAGCAAAGCCTACAGGCGGCGCTAGCAGCGCGCTCGTCGTTGGCCACATGGTTCGCGGAACGTGCATGCGCTTGTGTTCTCCTGGGCGAGCATGCATCATCGCTGGCAGCATCTGTTAAGGGGGGATGGTAGGTAAATACAACCCAAAAATAGTTTTTTTAATATTTGAACCAAAAAATACTATGGTTCATACAGAACATATTCTCCAAACGGCACGCTCGTAGCAGCACCAGAAGTATTTTAAAAATGGTGTCATCAATATACTATCGGCATTTTAGAGTGGGCGTGGCTTTAGAAAGCTTTCTTTACATTGCAACTCTCATTGAAAAAAAAAACGGTGCAACTGGAAAGAAAAGTTGTTTCTAATTGATGCTACTTACAAGACATCGTGAAAAATTAGTTTTCATAATGCAGCACCGGACCTTCTACGAAGGTGCCTTCATGGGCGAACCCAGAAGGTTTACGAGTCCCTGAATAACCTGATCTGGTGCAGGTGCCCAAAGACAACATTTGTGGACGCATGTACAGTAAAAGCAGCCGTGTATGACGCGGTTAGCTTCTACAACAATGGCAACCAAGCAAGGAAGCAAGTGTTTGAGACTTTAGGCGTCACACCTGGAGTGTTTTGTAATGTGGCCCTCAACAGGATGGACAAGGCCCGAATAGTCAAAAGTGACTTTCGGATCTCTGCTCAGAGCAAGCGAAGAAGGAAGGCCAAAGCAAGTGCGAGGAAAGGTTTCGCGAAGAAATCTGAAGCAAATGATGCTAAAGACTACGCACCAGGTGCTTTTTAGGCTGAGCGTTGAACAACTAAACTTTCAAAAGTGATTTGTGAAAAACGCTGTTTTCGCTCGTATAAGGAACATTTTCTCTCAAACAAATGAACCTTTTCTTGTAATATTTCCCTCGCGTTTTGCTGCATAACCTGCGCATCTACTGAACTAAAAATATAATATTTGCATGAAAACTTTTTTTTTATTTACAAGTTCCTCAAGGCAGAGAGCACCTAAGTTGAAGTATCAAAGTTCAAAAATTGATTTTGAACGACCTAAGCATTTCAAACTTATTATTTTAGTTCAGTCAAATGCCAATACTGTATAGAAAGTGTGAGAGAAGTTTCATCGTTTTATTAGCATTAGTTATATTTTAAATGTTCCTTGACTAAGTCAAGAAAACTTCTATTTCAAATTTTTATAAATACAAAATACCTCAATAGTTTTAAATAATATTTTGCTTGGTATAGCTAGAAGGACAGCGAAATATGCCCAGAAAGTTTAAAACGTTTTTACCCAGAAGCAGCTGAGATAATGGCAGAACATCTCGAAGTCGCATGTCGGGGTACTATCCCCCCTTAAGCCAGTTTGCAACGTTGAGCACGGCATGGTTTACAAACCCCTCATGACATAGTTACATGTGGTTTACTGAACTTCACTTTCTACTAATGTTTTCAAAAGAAGCCCTTGGGAAAGCTTGCCTTTTTTTTATTTGCTAAAGCTGCGGCTGCTGTTGTGCAGGCGTTGTCTGGTGTAGCAGTCTGCTAATCGTAGCAGACAACACTCACTCTTGTGCCGAGCTGCACCCGGGTGCCTGCTACGTGATGTCACGATTTGTACCATGTGGTTAGGGCATGTAGGTGACAACACAGGAGCAATGTTGCCCGCCGCAGGCAAGGTTTCGGTTTTGGTTTGTGGTGACCTTTAAATGAAATTTGTGTAAAAAATATTACAGTTTTTTGGGAAAGAAATTATGTAGAACTTTTTATTTCTACCTTGGGATATACAGTGTTTCCGGAAACACTGACAAAATCACTCCTTTGAAAACTATGCATTGCACAGAAAAAAGGTTGAAAGCGCTCTTTCGTTGTATACCTAGCGAAAGAGTGCTTGAAGGCACTCTTTCGCTAGGTATATTTCTTGATGACATTGAAGTCGAGAAAAAATCGCAGCACAACCGGCTTGCGTTAAACGGTTTGTCCAACTGCTCGGTTCTCGCGCTCATGATTCTCCCATGCTCCTCATTGTCTTCTTACTCCAGACTAAATGTCTCATGCCAGTGGTGTTTATTGTTAGATTTTCAACAGGCCCATTAAGAAAAATGATTAGCATTCAACATAATTGGGTAAATAATTAAATTTGAGTAATTAAATTGTTCATTATTGATTTTAAAGGCATGGTTTCAATTAGAATCTTGTTGGGCATCATAAAAAACTACTAAATACACCCACGTTGCAATGATACAAGGCACGCGCAGCATTTTACGGTGTTACGAAAAAGATGCTTAATTCGGACGCGTTTCTGGGTTTTGGTTTCTTATTGGAGCGCATCTCCATGTGGGAAATCCTGCCCCCTCATGTCTAAAATACGCAACGTGCGTGCGCCGCTACGCATAGCTTGTAGAATAGGCTAGATAAGAAAGCCTCTGGACTGCCGCATGAGGTTTGCCTTTTTAATGTTGGTGCCAGTGTGAAGACACACTTTTACATGAGATGCGTGGCGGTGCATGCACGTTGCACGTTTTACACACGGGGGCTGGATTGCCCGCGCGGAGGTGCGCTCTGATAAGAAACCGAAAACCAGAAACTTGTCCAAATTTAGCATTTTTTCGGAACGCCATAAAATGCTATGCATGCCTTATATCATTTTAATGTAGGTGTTTTTAGTAGTTTTTGATGATGCCCAGCAACATTCTAATTAGAACTATCCCTTTAAAATCAATAATTAACAATTTAATTCCTCAAAATTAATTACCCGATTATATTGAAAGCTAATAATTTTCCTTAATGGGCCCTTTGACACAGACCACTACGGCATCAGCCTTTTTTCTGTGCCAAGTGTAGTTTTCGCGGGAGTGATTTTGCCCGCATTTCCGGAAATGCCCTTTAATTAACATGTGAAAAGATATCCCTTGAACAGGACTAAAGGGGTAAAAAAAAAGGGAAATTGAAAGCCTCTAGGATTCCCATAGAGCCAACCGTCAGGAATGCAGTTATGAAGGGGGAGAAAAATACTGGAAAAGGGAAGCCAATGCATGCTGGAGGACACCCGAATGGTGTTCCTTTCATTTTTGTTATTTAGTGTGCAATATTTTGACAATTTTCATCTGGGCTGAACCCACAACAGTCTTCATGCCAACGCTAGCAAGAGCACATTTGACCTTGTCATTCATCCGGCCAGGCGGACTGTGCCTCTTCTCCTGAGCTAGTATTTCTCTTGGGCTGCTGGGCACGCAGAAAGATAGCCAAACATTGTTTGAAAACTCTTTTCTTTTTAACTCCAACTCGGAAGTTGACATGAGCGAGTCATCTTTAGAATTCATTTTCTTCTCAGCAAATGAATGTTTTGGGATATTTCATAGACTTGGCTCAGGAGTCAGCAGGTTTATTTAATAGATGGTGCGAGTTTCATAAAAATTGTCGAGCTTCGAAATTTTTAAACTGGCTCACTAAGAATTTAGCACCCATTAGGGGCTACTTCCTGAATAATAGCGAAAGTGGAGTGCAGAATAGACCTGTTGCAAAACGTACATTGCCGTGATGGCAGGGAATTTTGGGAACCTTCGGTACAGCTGACGTGCTCTCTCGTTGCGCATCCGCGACTGCGCACGTGTCCCGGCAGCTACCGCCAGCAGCCGTTGCAGCCATCCGCCATCCCGCCTATTCGCCGAGTCGTACGTTGTTAGCGGCGTACCGTATCTGTGGCAGCGTAAAGGCATCGCGACAATTGAACTTATTTGAATATGTTATTCATCGTAACTTACCTTCACATATTGAAGTGACACTGAATCCATTTAGTTTGCACCGCAACCGTGGCAGGTTTCGACCAGGTTC